CTTATATGTCAATTTTTAATAAACGGCATAAAGTGGTCAGCTTGACTGAAAATATCAAAATTTGCTATTTAAAAGGCCACTGTGATGCCGTTTATTTGATCATATGGTAAATATCTTAGACCTTATACAGACTGACGACTGCATTGTATTCTATTAATTATTAAAACATAGAACATAAAGCAATACAGAAAAACATTCCGCAGTAAATTTGTTAAATCAAATTTGCAATACCTTTTTTATGAGTTTTTAACACTTTTCAGAAAAATTTCCGGCGCTTAAATTTAATAAACTCTAACACTAATTAGTACGGTTAAAAAATCAGAACAAAACCATATTGTTCGTGAAATCACCGCTCTTGACACGAATGTTTTGATCTTGAAATGGATTTTATCTTTGATAGATAAATGTGATACATATATTTCAATTATACGTTAATTAGTAAGTTTTATTATGTAGTGCGATTGTGACGTATTGCGAATAATAGTACAAACGTGAAAAATTATGTAGTCTTTCGCACAAAACAAACGTTAATAATAAGTTAGTGTTATTGTTTGTCATACGTAAAACACTAAGTGGGTGTTATGAACTATCCGTGTGTTTGCAATGATAATTGTTCGTGACATATTTTGCAGCTTTTATTTGAACAGAAAGTGGATAAATGATTAACTATTTATCGGACAGAAGGTTGTGTACTTTTTAAATTATTGGTTTAAATATTGACAGATTTATAATCGTGCACATATCCATATCGTATAATGCTCTTGTGATAATTATCATTCGATTAAATTATCCATAATATACCAATAAAAAAGTAGTTTAATATACCACTAAATATACTTTTTTGAGCAAAATAACATGCAAAGTAAATTCCTTACTACATCAAAAGATATAGGAAATACCATGCAAATTTTGAACTGTACAGGGTGTCCCACTAAAAATAGCTCACGGCTGTATCTCGGAAAGTATTAGCCTAGTAGTAGGGCCTACGGAAAAAAATATTTGTAACTAAAGGGGCTATGAGAAATTGCTGGAAATTATTTTCAAGTTTATAAGAAAATAAGAAAATTGAATTTTTACAGAATTTTGCCTAGATAATGTGTACTATAAATAATAGCTTCATAATCTTCAGTAAATTTTGGATTTTTTTTGTTAGAACCATTTTCCCCTATCTGCGAAAATAAAGTGGTGGGGGAAGGCTAGATCTGTCTTTATTTAAATGTTAATAACTCCTAACTTTTTTATGATACCGTGTTGTAAAAATAAGGTAATTAAGGGTTTATTTTTTGGTATTTATTATAATTTTGCTAATATTTTCGGTTTGAACGATATCAAGATGCGGTTTTCGCTGACTTTTTAAGCTTTTTCTACTCTTTACTATTAGCTAAAATTACATATACTATCGTATTTAATTGTTTTTGAAAAAACGCGCTTTGTTTGTTAAATTGTAAGAATGCGCCACTAGCGTCTACGACGTAATTAGACTTGGCTTTTATTGGCTTTTAGTCCGTCCCATCCCCAATTCAAACCAAGCATAGATATGTTTCCTCCGTCAACCGCAGAGTTCGCGTCAAATTATTTGTCTACCTTTTTACAAAGGGTAATTCGAAAAATATTGCACCGAGACCCCCTCCCAGGTGTCAATCTACGCTACCGTATTCTTAGTATACATTTAGATCGAGACTATTTAAATTTACCTAATGCTATTCATTCTTTTGCCAGTCAGTCATTAAATAGTTATTACTAAAAGGATAATTGGTAAAACTATACAGGCTGAGTCTTAAATAAGTGCAAATATTGTCAGGGGTGGTATATTTCGACCCCAGGAACACGTCTATGAGGGTTTTTTTGCAAAAAAGATGTTAAAAATCGAGCATTTTCATTTAAATTTTCTAGTATATTTTAGAAAACTTTTTAGGACTTCCTTCACAATTTTTCCCCACTGTTTAGTTTCTTAATCTTTGATATTACGGCATTAAAAGAGATGCAAATACCGAAAAATTGAACATATGGTGGCTCAATTTTTTTTAAAATAAATCTATTTTTTAAATTTTCAAACTTTAATAACTCTTATTTGAAACACGGTAAAGAGGATATATTATGTTTATTTTATTGAGATCTACCAGCCCTGAAAATATTTGCACTTATAGACTCACCTTGTAAAATAAAAATTTTCCAACCGAACAAACAACAGATGATTATTCAAATTATAAGTGTCCCAGAAAAAGACATTTTACAATAGTTATTTTACAAATTGGTGTTTATGTTTAAAAGCAACTGACGATTATACTGATGCAAATTTATTAGTTAGTTATGGAGTCACTAAGGATCTTACGTCACTTTAGTTAGATGATTAACCATTTAATATTTGCTAATCCAATCTTTTTTTGAGCTCTGATCGGGACCGGCCCACCGGCCCATCTTTCCACCGGCTCACCGGGAATTTTCCCGTTTTCCCATATGGCCCATCCACCCCTGAGCATATATGTAGACCTCTAAAAAATCTATCTACAACTTCACTGTAAAATTAACAGGGGAGCCAATATCTGGACAGTTTTGTAAAATTTGCATGCAATTTTCTATGTTTCCAAAGGTATTCCAACGACGACGATGCACTACCCGGCCGGTATAATATATAACATATAGAAATTTTCTTCTTGATAAAAAACATTTTTAGTAGAGGCTTATAACAAATATCTGATGTTATACAGGGTCCGGCAATAGTGCGGCAATAATGCGAAGCCAAAAATGCAATAATATACAGGGTATTCCATTTAAAAAAAATCATCAAGGTCCACTCACACCTTTTTGAGCCACCCTATAGAAGTTAAAATATTTTCCTGAAATACATCCTGGTACATACTTTAGGTTTGAACTTAAACAAAATTCTCAAGTTTTTTATTCTAGGAGCTACAGATGCCTGACGCACTATTGCCGGACCCTGTATATTGCAGATATTAGGTACATTTTCATTTGTTATTAAGGATGGTTCTTTAATACAGTTATAAAAACTAAAATATTACACAAAACTTTTTTGATTATGGTATTAATGACAACTTATTCAGTACCAGCAGGTCATCTTTGTCTGTTTTTAAGTATTTGTTTTTTATCTGCAAATTTTAATGGATACTACCTGACTACGTTACATGACAATATTAGCGAATATTTAGATAGTTACGCAGATTTTCTTGCAAATAATCGTAGCCGGCAGACTGGATATATTAGGCTGTGATTACAATGAGCCTTCTATAAATATATAGTTTATAGTACTTATGATAAAAATAATATCGAATGTTTTAAAACTGTATTTATATAAAATCCTTATCAGATATATGAGATATATGTATGTCTCGATTTAAGTCTATTTAGTAGTACTTAAAGTAAACATTTCAGAGAACTAGTGAGAAATATGAAATAAAAATTAAAATATTTACTGTTTCATAATGAGATGCACTCAAATTTATCTGTGTCCTTTGTCTCATTATCTCTATGTTGTTGTAGTCTTTGTAGCAGTAATATTATAAGCTCCTTTCATAACCATTTAGCATTACCAGCATCAGATGATTCAAACATGGTTAGCGAAATGCGCGTCCACTGCAAAAGTAGTGGCGAATTAGTGTTTTATTTTGTTAAGAATTAATGGTTATGAAAAGAGCTTATAATATTCTTCCACCTTTATTTGATATATTCTTAAATTATATTCACAATAAACATAGATACAACACACGGGCAAGCTGACAAATATCCAAGATAATTATTTTGAATTTTTTAAGACATCATCATATTATACAGGATGTAGTAATTGTAATCGAAAATCTTTGATAATTTATTCTCTCTGCAAATAAAAATAAATAAAAAACTTTGTATAAAATCATGTCCTAAAATACTTCGCTTTGGAGATACAGCGTGTAGAAGTTTCATTTTTACTTCGTTTTTGATTGTTTCGTATTTAAATGAAAATTAGTGCCTGTGCGTTTTTTGACATGAGAAATTCGATTTCGATGCTACTATGACTCCTACATGCAGTCTATGACAGTATATACATGTATCTACGTTTTTTTTTCGGTTTTGAAGAGTAATAATTTTTTGTCCGTACCTGTATTAAGTTACTGAGAAAAAAATACACATTTTCACGGTATTCTTCATAAAAAAGGCCTCTTGGTAAAAATCGCTACGAGTAATAGTTCTCAGAATATTTGGAATCGAAATAGGCAATACATGTCATTATTGTCAAAAATTAAACATGTTGACTAGATAGTTTTATTACACTGAAATAATAAATTTGAAATGTTTTTGTGCCAAAGGTTTAACAGAAACTGTTATCATAATTCTTTTTAGAAAAAATTACGATTAATGTGAGAAAATAAAACGTTTCCAAATTTATCATTTTGGTCAAATAACTATGTAGTGAAAATTTTAATTTTTTGTCAATAATGACGAGTATTGACTATTTCCATTCCAAATATCTTGAAAACGGTTGTTCGTACCCATTTTACTAAGGCACATTTTCAAAACAGTTAAAAACATGTAGGTAGCGTCACCTACAAATAGGTGTTCTATTGATATCGAAATCAAAATGCTCATGTCAAAAAACACCCATACACCAATTTTCATCCAAATATCGACTATGGTTCAAAAATTATTTGGAAAAACCGAGATAAAAATTAAACTTCTACGCCCTGTATTTTCGAAACGAAGCATTTCAGGACATACATGTATACGAACTTTTTTACTTATTTTTATCTGCAGAATATGCTGCCGAAGTTTCCCGAATAGAATTTGGACCACCCTGTATATTGTAAATCTTTGTTTTTTTCTGTTTAAAAATATATATTATTATATTAACAGCGTATTAAACCTTGTGTCGTGTGTTTGATTTATACTCAATTTTATAATTTTTTATATATTTACAAAAACATAAATATTCGTACCTACTGATCTTTTATTTATAGTCATTTTAATTCTTCCCTATTCTCATTACAAACCTGTTCTAATAAAAATAGGGCATGCGAATGTTTCAGAAAGTCCTTCAGGTGCAACGCCACGAGGAAATTGCGGCGCAGGGCCGTGTTCAAAAATGGAGACTGCAACATTCTCCACTCCAGAATCTCGAAACGCGGACTGCGATATTTACAGGATATTTTTACTACTCTCGTCGATTCTCAATGGAGATGGACGCTCACTATTTTTGCCATAGGATTCTTAGGTAAGTTACATTACCAATTAGCATCATTATTGACTTGAATCAAATCAGTGATTATCCGCTGTTATGATAACACGATTAGTGAAAGTTTGATAAGGAATTTTATATATTTACAATAATCTGTATAAAATTCAATGCTGATTGACTTGGGGTATCGTTATCAACGCACAGCCGAAACCGTTTGTCATAGAAGCACGAAATTCGACACACACACTTTCCTTGAGTGATGTAAGTGAGCACTAAGAAGAGATTTTTTTAAAAATTCGCCCCTAAGGGCGTAGAGGTACAGGCTCTCGTCTACCAATCACAAGGTAGTGGGTTCGAATCCCACACACGGCATTTCATCAGCCGACTATTTTTATTAAAATAAAAATAGTTTGGGTACCTAGGTCGACACAGCCTTAAATAAGTATTTGGAATTCACAATCCTGCCACATTACCTTCCTTGTATACCGAATGGCTCTAGTATGGCAAGCTGTACCTTGCAACTCCCAAGGCGTTAACTATATACGGAAACTAGTATTATTATTATAAAACCTGTTCTAGGAGCGGAAAATTTTGCGCTGAGGTTCCTTGTGTGGCATAATTCAGCTCCAAAGGGCGATTTTTGGAAATTCGCCCACTAAGGGTGAATGTTGTATACAATAATAATAATATAATATTAATAGCTCCCGTATATAGTGTTTAACGCCCTGGGAGTAGCAAGGTACAGCTTGCCATGCTAAAGCCATTCGGTATTCAAGGAAGGTAATGTGGCTAGCACTACGCCTCAACCGCCTATTATTATCTCAGGATTGTGAATCCCAAGTACTCAGTTAAGGCTGAGTCGACCTAGGTACCCAAACTATTTTAATTTTAATAAAAATAGTCGGCTGATGAAATGCCGGGTGTAGGATTCGAACTCACAACCTTGAGATTGGTAAATGAGAGCCTGTACCTCTACGCCACCGGGGAATGTTGTATACAAAAAATCTGTCCTAGCAGTATGAAATTTTACACTGAGGTCTTCACATGCCAGTTTTTTTTTGTTAGTACAGCAGTTTGACGCAGTAAAGGAAATGTAGGAGAAATTTAAAATTTTATTCGGATGAAGTCGCGGGAAAAAGCTAGTAATATAAAACTTAATTAAAAAATGAATCAATTTTCTTAAATCAACCTGTTTCACAAATTCATATAATTGACCAAGTCGATAAAATTTACTAGTTACATCCAATTGTCAAATCATCACTTATGGAGCACTAATATGATGGGAAGCGGTACTTAAAGAGGCTAATAGAAAAAGCCTCACGAAAGTACAGCGATTAGCAGCTCTAGGTACAACTGGAGCAAGGAACAACACAGCGCAAGCTGCGCTAGAAGCAATTCTGGACTTGCAATCAATCGACTGGCTCGCAAAGGATCTGGCCGCTAAGGGTGCCCTAAGATTAAGGGAATCCAATCTGTGGAACCAGACCAACTACGGTCACTCGAGGATATTGCCAGTGATAGGAAAAATCATGGCGAACCCGAGTCCACATCTGCTAGACCAGAAAACGGACTATATGCCACCAAACATGATTTTGGAGAAAAGATAAGGATTCGCATCCCGATAAGAGAAGAATGGGAAAGCAACCGAGTAATGAACACTCAAGAGATAGCAGTCTACACAGATACTTCCGCAAATTCAGGGAGCACAGGTGTAGGCATCTTCTCAGAGAAACTAGACATCCGACGATCTTTGAGGCTATCGGATGGCTGTAATGTTCTACAAGCAGAGGTTTACGCCATAAAGGGAGCGGCTAGATGTATACGAGAGAAAATTGCTGATAGACCAATAGGGGATATAGTGATATACTCTGACAGCTGGGCCGCTTTAAGAAGCATCACCATGCAATCAGTGAGATCGAAAACTGTGATGGAATGCCGAGAAGCACTGTCCTGGCTGCGTCGGGCGGGACTACTAGCCAAAGACGGGGCCAGGGGAGAGGCCGTGGCAGATGACCCACCACTTGTGACGATCAACACACTTAAAGACGCTATAGGAACTACAATCAAAGTCAAGCAGCAAGAGGACTGCGCTACAGCTCTGGTGAGGAAGAGTGAGGACTGCGCTACAGCTCGAAGACTATGGCCAGTAGTAGATAGCAAAAAGACAAAACAACTACTAGGGCACAAAAAGGACCTAGTACGCATATTTGTAGGTGTCGTCACTGGAAACTGTTCCACGGGGGTCCAGCCGTCTTTTCACTTTACCTCGTAAGATGGAAAGTTTCCGACGACGACTACTGAAGAGAATGCGTAGAAGAAGAAGAAACCATAGAGCACCTGCTGTGCCACTGTCCGGCACTGGAATACCGACGCTTTAAAACTTTAGGGCAAGGTTTTTTGGAGGGACTAGAGGAAGCAGCAGAAACCAACATCAGCGACATCGGGAACTTTGCAAAGAGCTGGAAGTGCTTTAACGCAAAGAAATAATGAGAGGAAGGTTTGGTAAAACAATACAGGGGTATCTCAATGGGCCTAAGGCCTTCGAGTGAGGGATCAAATATAATCCCAAACCCCAGCAACCTAACCTAACCTAACCTACATCCAATTTTGGTATACATATAGGGAAATTAAAACAACTTTGGGTGCACGTCATAAATGACACCATGCGTCGTCTTATGAAGTTTGCTGGTGATCGTATTATGATGTGTAACCAAAGTTAGTTTAATTTCCCTATAGGTAGTTATTAAATAGTATTCATATGACAATATCCAAAGCATGTAGAATAAGTGAAACATTTCGATAACGTTCTTCAGTTTATTTTTTTTAGGTAGGCTTTTTGTATTTGAATTTTTTTTAGATCATTACATATAATTACTGAAAATTAATATAATTGTCTCTAGTAGGTACATAGAGTACGCTGTTACAAAAATAATCAAAATAGACTATTTTTATATATCATGTTTAGCTCAGTTATGTTGAAATCATTATATTGCATATCATATCTTAAATTTATATCCCTGTCTGCTTGCTAAATTATATCTTGCAATATTAACAAAGGAAGCAGGTAGTTATTTTTATATATCAATAGAGATACCACTAAATTAAACAATACACAGTAAAGAGTATATGAACATGCATATTTTGTAAGTTTAATTTATACAATTTTTAAATAATCCTATATTTTTCGAGATTAGTTTCGTTTTTTGTTTCTTGACGTCAAAGAATTATTTATCTTCGTTGTTTTCGAAAAAAATACTTTAGGATTAATGAAATAACAATATCTTAATATGTTAATTTTAGGTTCCTGGTTGATATTCGCTTTGATCTGGTGGCTAATAGCCTTTACCCATGGCGATCTAGAGCCCGATCATTTGCCCGAAAACCAGGCTGATTCGAGCTGGACCCCTTGTGTCCTAGGCATTCAAGGTTTTACCTCTTGTTTCCTGTTTTCCATTGAAACACAGCACACGATTGGTTATGGTGCCCGAACTACGACTGAAGAATGTCCTGAGGCCATCTTCATTATGTGCTTGCAGAGTATCGCTGGAATGATTATTCAAGCTTTCATGGTGAGCAAACTTATTAATAAAATCGTTAACTTTTTAAATGTTCAAAGTCGAAAGTTCCTGATTACCTTGCCTTGGCTTATATTGAACTATAAAGGCGCATTCTCACGACTAGTGTACTTGACAAACATTTGTTATTGGAATATACTCGCCATGTCGTGAGAACGGTTTTCTTGGTCACTCTCTGTCGGTAAATATAACCCGAGTCAAAGGATCACAATAATTATTCGTACACTTGCCAAGTGTACTTGGCCAGCCTTGTCTATACTTGCCGAGGTGCAAAAAAAACGACTGCACAAATAATTGTACTGTTATAGCGTATGTCCCGTTTATTTCCGGATTGTAGTGTTTCTAGTTAATTGCGGATAATTTAAAACGTTAAAACAATAATAGATTATATAATATCAAATTTACATTAATAACTTCCATATTGGCGACATACCTAAATCGTTCTCACAGCAATAAATGGAGTAGACAAATGAAGACTACACGGGAAAAACCAGATATGTCACATTTTCATAGAAATTAACCTAGCGATACAACTTTATACACAAATGATAATGTCATTCGAGAAAAAAGAAAGCAATAATACGCTTACTCCCAGAGATATTACAGCTTGGTTATTTTGCCGTACACAGGGAAAACCAGAGTAGTCCACGCGTAAGGTAAATGGCAAAAACCAGAGATGTACTTACGCATGGGCGACAAGCATGCATCTTGCAATTAGTATTATATGTTATAAATTTATGTATTGTAATAAAAACCTACAATATTAATTTTCTTCCTACAACAAAAATAATAATAGTTACTTAGGTTTTATACAACCTTTAATTGGACATCCCTGGTTTTCCCCTGTTTTGTTTTGCATTTTGACATTTTTATTTCGGTATTTCAGAATATGGCGATAATTCACAATATTAATAATTCAGAATTGGTAGTAAAATATATTTTTCTAATTATTCAACCGAAAATAACATATTTCTTTAAAAACACTAAATTGCAATTTCTCGGCTCCAATTAAAATGGACAAAATTGGGGTTTCCCGTGTAGTCTTCAAATGATGTTGTTTTCGAATTTATGGATTTATACGAAAATGAGTCCTTCATATGGATGGACAAACATAAAGAACATAGAAATCGTATTGCAGTGTAAAGTAAAAGAACTTAAAAAGAAAAAAGAATCACTAGACAATTTCGGGATGACCGGTATCCATTGATGCGACTATACTGTTTACTTGCCAAGGATTTAAACAATGTTTGTGCTGGCGTACTTGTTGAAATGAACACGTCGCGCGTCGTGTGAGCGCCATACTTGCCAATGTTGTTTACAAAGTGACTGGTGGGGATACTTGCCAAGTACGCAAATATTGGCGTACTTGCCAAGTAGACGAGTCGTGAGAGTGCGCCTTAAGATCCCAGGAAGCTTTGATTTTTAAGGACTGGAATATATAGATTTGTTACCACTTTTGTAATAATCAGAACTTCCACCTTGTAATTTTTTAAATATTATTCTCAAATTGATTGACTTTAGCCACTTAATTATAAATATATAAACAGCAGATGTGTTATTTTTTTCTTTGCATTTTCTTTTATTTTTCTTTTATTGTCTATCTATGTCTATTTGAAACCTCAATATACATATTATGTTCTAGGTGGGTATAGTTTTCGCCAAAATGACCCGTCCTAAATTGAGAACACAAACACTGCAGTTCTCTAAAAATGCCGTTATATGCCAAAGAGATGGCCAACTGTGCCTTATGTTCAGAGTGGGTGATATGAGGAAGAGTCACATCATAGGTGCGAGCATTCGAGCTCAGCTCATTAAGTCTAAGCTGACCAAAGAAGGCGAGGTAAGGAATTAAAATAAAGCATATATCATTATGTTTTTTATTTAAGAAATTTATAAGAATATTTTTATTGCTTTAGTTGCTGACCAACTTCCAAACCGAACTAAATGTCACTGCGGATGGTTGTGATGGTAACTTGTTCTTTATTTGGCCTATGACCATAGTTCACAAAATTGACGAAGAATCTCCGTTCTATCATTTATCAGCTAGTGACTTATTGCAAGAGAAATTTGAAATAGTTGTTATACTAGAAGGTAAGTTGTTTGATGAAATGGATGGTACCATTTTAATACCATATTAACTTTTTAAAGTTAAGGTATTAACATAATACGCCAGATAGCGTTTTCGGATTAAAATTTGTTTTATTAAAAAAACAAACTTGAAAAAATGAACAGTAATCAAAAGCGCCTGGAAATCACTAATTACACTAGAAGGTTATCAATATCAATGCAAGTAGTTTTAATGTTCATTCTACGAAAATAATGATCAGATTTGAAGATAATGATCAACAAAATTATCGTGAGGTTACTTACATTATTTTTGCAAAATATATATAACTCTTGAAAACAAGACTTGTGTTGGTTGTGCTTCAGAACAAACTAAATTTTATGAAACATATTATTTTTGTTTCTTCTTATACCGCTTAGAAACAATATTGATTAAGCACTAAAGATATGTATAAACAGTAATTTATTATATTGTTAAATGTATATATTTACATAGCTTAGAAAATTGCATTTAAATCATTAATTCGTAATAAAATATATTTTTAATAATTTTTTTATATTTTTAAAATATTCAATTTTTTAACCTAACTTAAATTAAGAATTGAGGGCCCTATAAGATTTTAAATTATATGATCATAATCCTAATCATAATACATTAGTATATGATTCTCAATTTGATGTTTCATATTCACCATTTTCTTAGTGTACTCTGTACATTCCAAGTATCGGGTGCCTCAAATTATTCGCTTTCGCAACATTAGTTTGCGGTATTCAAAAAGGACTTAATTTTATTTTATATTGCCAATTTTGGATTTTTTAGAAATGAGACGAATGGCACCTCATTACTAGTTTTACCATAATCATAATATACATATGTTTAGCAAAATGGAAAAGAAAAAAATATTTTTAAATAACTTTTTCTACAGGGTGAGTAGTAAATAAGTGCAAATATTTTTAGGAGCAGTATATTTCGACCCGACACGTTCTATGAGGGTTTTCAAAAAAATTGAAAATCTTGATTTTTTTGACAAAAATTTTGGGAGTTTTTTTTTTAATTTTTAGTTAAAAGTTATATCTTGGCAACATAGGTTATAGATTAAACTTACAAGAAAGAAATCCTAGAGAAGATCCAGTGGTTCTGAAAATTTTAGCGAAAAATCATTTTTTTTAATTTTCAAAGTAAAATAACTCCTAACGATAAATGACGAATAACTCTTAACGATAAACTTAACGATAATGACAAAAAATGGTAATTGTTGTGACAAAAATGGTTTTGATGGGGTTAGAGTTGTCATATTTAAGAAGATATGAAAACGATATTATATACCAAAAATATACCTTAACATCATCAATCAAATACACCTCAGTCATTGGTCATTCTCAGTCACCAAAGGCACGAAGTTTGAAACATCTTGTACATATTTATCATTCTACATAATTGTAATAATTGGATCAATGATGGAATGGAATATACCGGGTGCATCTCAAAAATAGCTCACCCCTATATCTTTTTTATTTTACCAGATAAAAAAACGAGATTTGGTATGTTAGTATATAACATAAACCAGGATTGATTGACGTATTCAACTCTTTTCGGCCATTTCCTGTTTCACCGGAAATTACTACAACTTTTGATTTTTAAATAGCACTCTCGGTATTTTTTTACTTTATTCGATAGAAAATGACATTCTGAAAAGAATGACATATCATGTCAACTTCTGGCATTTTTGCTTAAAACAAAATTGAATTTTAAATTTAAATCTTGAGTGCCATGGATGTGTTAAAAACACTAATTTTTAATCAAGGAGCCTTGGAAAAATAGATTTGATCGTCTAATGTTATTCGTGTCTTGTCCTGGCCGGTTAAAAGATGCCCAAATCGTATTTTAAATCATATCTCAATTTTTTCAAATGGAACGAGGGTGGCTCATTAGCATATTTGGAAAAAGATTTTTTACAAATAATTTGGTACCACATACTATTATACACTGGTATTTCGAATCAAATTATCGTTATGAATCGCATGTTGCGTTCAAATAAACCATATTCGAAAATGTCAAAAGTTGACATATGATATGTCATTCTATTCAGAGTATCATTTTTTATCGAATAAAGTAGTAGTCATTACAGGTGAAACAGGAAGTGACAGAAAACAATTGAATACGGCAATCGATCCTAATTTATGTCATACATTAATATACCAAATCTCTATTTTTTATCTAAAGAAATAAAAAAGTTATAGAGGTGAGCCACTTTTGAGACGCACCCGATATAATCTGATTAAATATTTATCAAAGTTATATTTACTAAGAAATATAGTTAATCCAATGAAGGAAAATATGATTCGGACTGTCCGAATCGGACAGACTACGTCCAAAAAATAACTTACTTTTAAATTGAAATGACATTGAAAACAATGTTACTGCTATATTTCATTTCAAGAATACACTTACTTTTTAAATTTATTTCTGTATTCTTTAGTCAATGTCATTATAATTATTTATCTTTCAGGAACAATTGAAAGTACTGGTCAAACCACTCAAGCTCGGTCCAGTTTCCTGGCTAGCGAGGTTCTGTGGGGACACAGATTTGAACCAGTAGTGTCTTATAACAAGGAGAGGCAGGGCTACGAAGTGAACTATTCCCGATTCGATAATACGGTGGCCGTGGATACACCATTATGTTCTGGTGCCGAACTATCTGAGTTTTATCAGGTCAAAGATGGTCCAGGTACGTCAATTTTAAATCGTAATCAAAATTTAACACGCTCCTTTTATTATAAGATTTAATGAGTATAGAGATGGGAATTCTAGTTCCTTGGGAGGAGTTCCTTAGTTCTAGTGTCTCCAGAGGAATAGTTCGTTGAACTAGGTCTTTAGTTCACAATAGTTCCCGACTAACTTTGTCATCCCCGTTGCTTGCTAATGGGTTTCGTTGTCGGTCAGAACTATTTACAGTATGATCTGTATAATTTTTATAATGTACAAAATATAAGGAAACGTGTAATTGCGTATGTTAAAACCATATAGGTAAGTTTGTTGCAGATAAACAAAAATAAAAAAAAATCTCAAATCAGAGTTTAAAAAACTATATCACAAATCAGTTGGAGCAAATCATACGAAAATTTTACGACAAATTGCATTTTTCCCCACTTCAAGCTTTTTGTTTCTGTCTAAACATTCCTAAGCTCTATTTCATTTTATAAGATATTTCTTAATTTTAGGGACCTAAAGTAAACATTCCCATAAAATATTCAAAGAATAAACTAAAAATCAAAAACAGTATACACGACAATTTTCTGTGGTAATTACGCCAGCTGTAGCAATAGACAATTTTGGTTTAATTAGTTCCCCTAGTTCCTCTCAGTCCTTTCGGTCCGGGACAGGTAACATAACAGTGGAGAGTGCCGGGCTGGCACTCTCCATTCCTGCCTAGTATCGGGCTACGATCGCGCTGGCCGATCCGTACGTAAACTAGTCTTTTATTTAGTTCCTCTAGGTCCGGATCCGATAACATACGGGTGGCACTTTCCACTCTTGCCTAGCATCGGGCTACGAGGCTACGATCGCGCTGGCCGATCCGTCGCTGTCGCATATTATTATATATTGGTCACAGTCTCGATCCCGGAATAGGTTCTGAGGAACTTGTTCTTTGAGAAACAGGGTACTAATTTCTTCCATTCCGGGTAGTTCATTGGCACTAGTTCGTTCACGAAATACACACCTCTAACTGAATACAATAATTGTTTCTGATTATTATCACGCATTCGATTCATTGATACTCTTTGTTATTGTTTTGATTAGTGAAACAAAACTTTCAGTTATAATAAAAATTACAAGACTAGTGTCGTTTGTCGCTCCACAAGTTCTATAAATGCCGGTTCCATCAGTCTCTTAGGTTTCTTTCTTAGGTTAGTCTCTCTTAGGTTTCTTTCAAGCATGGCTTCCTTTACATATTATATGTTTGGAAACTATTGACATTTTTTATATTATAATTTATAAATAGTATTTTGTATCTATAAATTATGAAGTTGAATTATGAATTATTTAGGTAGGTATGTTATATAGCAGAAAGTCTAGTTCTAAAATAGATGGATGCTAAATGCCATTTTGTATTAGGAAATTCTAAATAGATAGGTATTTTACGAATGATGTTTATCGTTTACTTATGTTAGCAGATTCGTCATAATTTCTGCCAAGTTAGTTTTTGTTTTTAGTTCAAATAATAATAAACACGACTGGACTTGACTTAAACGAAAATATAAACTTACTCGCCATGTTTTTGCTTGTCTATCTTTTTTTTTCTCGCTGCATACTTTGTGTTATTTAATATATTTATATATGTTATTACTTTGTGAGTCTTCAACTCTTCAAAGATGACTGAAATAAAGGTGGGCAGAACGAATCATTCATTTGAACTAGCATTAAAAATGAATGGTGAGTTTCTCTTCACCGCTTAGAATACGATTCTTTCAATTGAATCGTGGCTAGCACGGTGTTCAGGCTTCTCCACAACGGCCATGTCTTTTCCGCACCAAGTGGTAGGTTTTTTTAGCCTTAGCTCAAATTCATTTAGGATTGTTGACGTTGCTGACCAATCTCTTTGAGGATGCCGTGCTGCTATCAAGTGGCTGGACGGTAGAAAGGATTATTTCTGGATTTCAACCTGGGGTTAGCCGCGTTTTGTCCGAAATGCAGGTGACGGGCATTGAAAAGAAGGTCTGTCTGTGTGTAACTGTTGGGCCGATGTGGCTTATGGGCTTGATGCAAGGCAAGGTGTTTTAGGCATCCGCTGATTAGACAGCATGATTGGTTCAGCATCGGGTCTATTTTTTTGCATGGAAGGAATGTTCCCAAACTGTGGCCGCATATTCGGCAACAGAATAGTACAGTGCAAGAGCAATCATTCTTAGTGTGTGTGAATCGGCCCCCCAGGTGGAGCTGGTCAGCCAGTCATCTGGTTATTAAAAAAATTAAAACTTGAGACCAAAGGGTTACATGAGAACAACCTAACCTAACCGGCAAATATCTGAATTTTTAAAATGTTGTTAGGCACCTCATTACGCACGGCATCCTCAGTACTTGGCCCTATTTTGTTTCTGGTGTTTATCAACGACATTGCAAATCTAGACATTAGCGGTAAAATCTGCCTCTTTGCGGACGATACTAGTTTCACTTGGAGCGGCCCAGATGTTGCGGCGCTATATGATACTATATCCAATGGCTTACGCACCATTAAGTCTTGGTGCGATTCTAATCTCCTATGCCTCAACCTATCAAAAACTAAAGTTTTGTCATATAAAAGTACTATACAACCTTTTGTACTTAATAACACTACTATTGACGTCGTGGACTCTGTGAGATTCTTAGGACTTCTTGTAGACAACTCGTTAAAATGGGACTTTCACATTGAAGCTCTATCAAAGAAACTAAGCGCTGCCTGTTTTGCGCTAAGATCAGTTTCTAAGGAACTTAACTTCTCAACCTCTAGAATAGCCTATTATGCCCTTTTGAGTCACATCTTCGTTATGCCCTTCCATTCTGGGGTACTGCTGCGCAACAAAATTTGATCGTGTTTTCATACTTCAAAAGAGAGCAGTTCGATATTTATTGGGACTGAACAGTAGAACTCACTGCCAGAATTTCTTTAAAAATTTGAAAATACTGACTCTTCCTTCTTTATTCATTTTTGAATCCGTTTGCTTAATCCGCAAGCACATACCTGCTATTCCCGAAAAGCCATCTCATAACTATCCACTTAGGAATGCAGAGCACGATCTTTATCTGCCAACCCCGAGCTCAGAACTAGTTAAGGGTTCAATACTGTACAATGCCAAAAAAATGTACAATCATCTGCCTTTGAATATCAAATCGCTTTCGTTCTTTCCCGCATTTCGCAAGGCTCTAAAATCATACCTACTGGAGAGAGCCCTATATGCGGTAAACGACTTTTTTGTTGATGTTTAATTATGAACAATTTTGAATTTTAAAATTTTTATCATCTCACACACTGGTCAAAGGTCAAGTATTTAATATTCTATAACTTTAAAATTATATCTATTTACTGCGTACTGTTCTAAAATTGTCCATGTATATTCTTTTTGTAATTTTAAAGACTTAAATTTTTTTGAATTGTATTATTTGTATTGTGTATTTTTTGTTGTTTGTATTTTTTTGTGATTTTGTTGTTTGTGAGTGCTTTGTCGATGAAGCTGTTTTGGCTTTTTGCACAATAAAGCGTTGTTTTGTTTTAGTTTTCTCTTCATGAGAAAGTAAGTCTCTTCATGAGAAATGCGACGATATATACATATTATGGATATCTATAAAAACTGGGTATAAATTTTGCCCCTGCTTTAATACCGTAATAGTAAAGAGGAAAAAATACTGGCGTTCCGCTATATACGTTAATTAAATAATGAGCATTTTGATTGAATTAGTTCTTTGTACGTACCGGTGGTTTATTGAATAATTACACGCGCGCCGATGTTGTTAGGAAGCAAAAATTACAGTTTCCGAATGCCTCCTTATTGTTTCCTGTAATGAGTCGTGTAGATAATAAACATTTAATAAGAATAATATGTCTTATTATTTTGTCCGATTATTGTTCAATAGACAAAAAAAAATAACAATGAGAAATAAAAATTTAGACTAAATATATAATAAACCTAAATATCTAAGTGCTCTTGTGATATGAATACTTAGATATTGCACTTCCCTGACGACATATTCGCTTTTCGTAAAATAGCCTCTCTAGTACCGTATGATCGAAAAAAACGTTGTCTAGTTGGCTGGGGAATGACGATCGATGACATTTCCCATATAAATTTACATATATTGACAGCGATCTTCATTTCATAGCCATCGCTGACACCGTTTTTTTCTCGATCATTCGGTATTTACGACATCTTTTGTCTCTTGTAAAAAACGCCACCTTACATAGTTTTTGAGAAAAAAAATCGAAAATGTATTTTTCCAAAGCAGACCTACAAAATATACAGGGAGTTTCAATATTCTAGTTTTTTGAATCAAAATACGTAAATTGCACATAACTTACTTTTATACAAAAGTGTTTTGTTTGTCCGTTAGAGGGCATCAAACTTAAAAAAAAATAAACACATTTTTTCAAAATATTTTAAGAACCGTTATTCCGATTTGAATGAGATTTATTAATTCATTTAAAATTAATACTTTTTTTAAGCTTTTTATGAACCTTATTGGTAAAATTTAATTTTTGATGGAAACATAGTATTCCATATTTTTGTAATTTAGATTATTAGAGCATAATAGATTTTGTGTGTATCTCCTTAGCTTGTAAAGCACTTATAGACACCGAAAATCTCATTCAAATCGGAATAACGGTACTTAAAATATCTGAAAAATGTGTTTATTTTTTTTGCGTTTGATGCCTTCTAACGGACAAACCAAGCACTTTTGTATAGAGGGAAATTGTGTCCAATGAACTTAATTTGATTCCAGAAATACGTAGTAAAAAAAAGCAGACAGGCACTGAAAGCAAATGCTTTTCTATGGTTAGCATATAATAAATTGCTATTGTTTTTAATTTTAATTTTTCACGTGCAATTTTTCATTGCAATTTGTTTCAGATTCCGAGAAACGCCCAATATCACCGAACAATCAGGAATTTGTGCTGAAGTCTCCACCAAAGTCTTCGTCTAAGGCTTCTATATATGGACACAAAGATATTCCAGACATTGACGATACTAGCGAAACTAGACCGTTTCCAACTGACGATGTATAGATACCTATACTATTTTATTTATATTTTCAGTATTATACAGTGTGACAAAATTAGTGTGCTTTTAAAACGAATTTTATTGCATAATGTTGTTCGATATATTTTTTAGTAAATATAATTTAATAAAATACTGTTATTACGAGTTTATACCAAGTATTTTTTTATTAATTCTCATTTTCTAAATGCACAAAATTGACAGAAATAAAACATTTTGTGAATTTTGTCTCCTATTTCCTAAGTAGAGCATCGTGTACCTAGACCATTACCATTCTCTATTGGCCTCTTTTCTGATATGTCTCACTTTTTATAAGATATTAAAAGCACAGGATTGGATATCCTATTACATGGCCAAATAACCTTGGCAGGTCAAGCCGTAAAACTAAAGTACTACTAAGTACTAATACCTAGATAGAAATAGGTCTATCCATTCATTACAAATGAGTTAAACATATTAGCATTCTTCCTTCAACCACTCTTATCGCTAACAGTTCGCTACTCTCGCTATTTACAATTTTTTTCTCTTCTACCATGTAAATTTTTGTTATTCTTTATATCATACATGCAACTTTTCTTTATGTATCTGCATCTATGTGCAAAATTATATGCGGATATCACTACCATCTGAAAAAAAATGCGGATATTACACTCATTTTAGATCTGCAATGTACCACTCCCAACATCTAATATTCGCCTAATTACGTTATTTCCAAGTATTCTGCAAAAAAGTAAGCACTGGACTCTATCAATAATTACAACTTTATTATGTCCAAGAGAAAGAAGTTTGTAAGTAGATATTTTTGCAATTGCAATTACTGTTTTTCACTAACAGTGTAACAGTATTCAATATCTATTGAACAGAATATTGCAAGTTCAATAGGAATTTAAAGATAATGGGATTGACAGATGAAGCCTATGTGTACATCTTTTTTTTCCATAGCAACTGTTAAAATCGCCTTATATCTATCAAAAATAGGAGATAAAATAGTACTTTAACCGCAAGGGTAGGTTAAATGCAAAACAACAGTGCAAAGAAATTCCACGACATCTTCTGGATTTAAAATTTTTGACTTTTTCGGTTTGTAACCGCTACATGACTGCTTCAAGAAAGCTATGAGCTTGCTATATATTATACAAAAGTGTTTTGTTTGTCCGTTAGAGGGCATCAAACTTAAAAAAAATAAACACATTTTTTCAAAATATTTTAAGAACCGTTATTCCGATTTGAATGAGATTTATTAATTCTTTTAAAATTAATATTTTTTTAAGCTTTTTATGAACCTTATTGGTAAAATTTAATTTGTGATCGAAACATAATATTCCATATTTTTGTAATTTAGATTATTAGAGCATAATAGATTTTGTGTGTATCTCCTTAGCTTGTAAAGCACTTATAGACACCGAAAATCTCATTCAAATCGGAATAACGGTTCTTAAAATATCTGAAAAATGTGTTTATTTTTTTACGTTTGATGCCCTCCAACGGACAAACCAAGCACTTTTGTATAGAGGGAAATTGTGTCCAATGAACTTATTTTGATTCCAGAAATACGTAGTAAAAAAAAAGCAGACGGGCACTGAAAGCAAATGCTTTTCTATGGTTAGCATATAATAAATTGCTATTGTTTTTATAATTTTTCACGTGCAATTTTTCATTGCAATTTGTTTCAGATTCCGAGAAACGCCCAACATCACCGAACAATCATGAATTTGTGCTGAAGTCTCTACCAAAGTCTTCGTCTAAGGCTTCTATATATGGACACAAAGATATTCCAGACATTGACGATACTAGCGAAACTAGACCGTTTCCAACTGACGATGTATAGATACCTATACTATTTTATTTATATTTTCAGTATTATACAGTGTGACAAAATTAGTGTGCTTTTAAAACGAATTTTATTGCATAATGTTGTTCGATATATTTTTAGTAAATATAATTTAATAAAATACTGTTATTACGAGTTTATACCAAGTATTTTTATTAATTTCATTTTCTAAATGCACAAAATTGACAGAAATAAAACATTTTGTGAATTTTGTCTCCTATTTCTAAGTAGAGCATCGTGTACCTAGACCATTACCATTCTCTCTATTGGCCTCTTTTCTGATATGTCTCACTTTTTATAAGATATTAAAAGCACAGGATTGATATCCTATTACATGGCCAAATAACCTTTGGCAGGTCAAGCCGTAAACTAAAGTACTACTAAGTACTAATACCTAGATAGAAATAGGTCTATCCATTCATTACAAATGAGTTAAACATATTAGCATTCTTCCTTCAACCACTCTTATCGCTAACAGTTCGCTACTCTCGCTATTTACAATTTTTTTCTCTTCTACCATGTAAATTTTTGTTATTCTTTATATCATACATGCAACTTTTCTTTATGTATCTGCATCTATATGCAAAAATATATGCGGATATGACTACCATGTGCAAAAAATGCGGATATTACACTTATTTTAGATCTGCAATGTACCACTCCCAACATCTAATATTCGCTTAATTACGTTATTTGCAAGTATTCTGCAAAAAAGTGAGCACTGGACTCTATCAATAATTACAACTTTATTATGTCCAAGAGAACGAAGTTTGTAAGTAGATATGTTTGCAATGGCAATTACTTTTTTTCACTAACAGTGTAACAGTATTCAATATCTATTGAACAGAATATTGCAAGTTCAATAGGAATTTAAAGTTAATGGGATTGACAGATGAAGCCATGTGTACATCTTTTTTTTTCTATAGCAACTGTTAAAATTGCCTTATACCCATATAACACAACACAATCCTATAGATATCTTGAGGATATCCACCAAGGATATAGTAAATATCTTAGGGATATCCAAAAACCAGAGGAGGATATTTATGGGATATCCAGATGGGATAAAAAAAGTCATCTTCAAGACATCCCTGGGCAAGCCTTTTACGATTATTTGGGATATTTATAGGATAATACAAGGATGATGTTGGGAGCATTATAGAATATTTTTAGGACATTATATGAGGACTGTTATTTGACAATACTTACTTCATCCTTAGTTTATAGTAAAAACGTTCGCGATTTAGTTTTATTTAGCCACATTTTGACGTTATTCATTGGATATTTTTATTAACAGCTCTAAAATATACCTACATATTATGTCAATGAATTTTGCGTCAAAATTTAGAAGTTTATTTGTATGAGTTAAGAGCTTTCAATTTATACTGTACCATCGAAAAAAACGGCGTTCCATTGGCTTGAAAATTACGATCGATGACATTCCCCATATAATTTTACATACAAAATAACAGCAATCTTCATTTCCAAGCGACCTCTGACGCCGTTTTTTTTTTATCGTACGGTATTATACCAGATTATACTACCCTTTATGGAGTCTAGCAGTTTATGTCTAGCAGCAACAGTTTACATCAAAATTAGCACACAGGATACAGGTATAATTTCTAACACCACACATTCCAGAAACTCACAATTTAAACACAAAAATAGGATTTGTGTTTGAATAGATCAAACACGAATATGGGTTTAGGGATAAAGAACAAGCGCTTTTCAACAAATTTTCACCTATAATTTTGTCACAAATTTTTCATTGTGAGACCCTAAGTCGTTCGTCGTTTTTGGACATTAGTTGAGGTTAGGATATAATTTCTGCTAGAACAAGGCTAGAACTATGAGTATAAGAAAAAACTAAGTCAAACTCAACCAGTTTTGTTAGTTTCAGTCATTTTTAAGTCTATTCAATATCGACAAACGACCGAATTCACTTCGAATTTCACTAAATCAAAGAACTGAATAATACACGATGCAAAACCAAACAACCTGCAAACAACTGTCGAGATGGATTGTGGATAATTTTTTGCGGGGGCGTTTTAAATTCTCTGTATTACTGGGAGTGGCCAAGCTCATAAATATCCAGATTATCCAGAAGATACCAACAGGATATTTTGTTGCCTTGACGTAATATATATCTATCTGTATGGTTTATTGCATTTTATGTAATATAAAAAGTAGTGCATTATTTATTTTTCCTAAATATCTCGACGATATTGTTAGGATATTTTATTATCATGAGCATGTTTGGATATCTCAGCTGGATGTACATTAGATATACGACAGAGATATCCATAGGATATTCTATTCTGAGACATCTACAGGATTTCAGGATGTCTGGAGGATATTCTATATATGCCTTTATAAGATGATCTTATTATGGGACATTCCGACATTCTATGAATATCCTGCGGATATTGTGTATTATATGGGTATCTATCAAAAATAGTAGATAAAATAGTACTTTAACCACAAGGGTAGATTATCTAAATGCAAAAAAGCAGTGCAAAGAAATTCCATGACATCTTCTGAATTTAAAATTTTTGAATTTTTCGGTTTGTAACCGCTACCTGAATGCTTCAAGAAAGCTATGAGTTTGCTATATCTACAAAGTTTAGATGTTACTGTACTACTACGGAAATTTAAACGGTATATCTTGAAACCTAACCTTGAAATATCAATGTTTTAATTGACCAGTATTGTACTTTTTAGCATTGAATAGTAAGACCATAAACTGAACGGCTGCATTTTCTTTGATTTTTCAGAAAAATATGCTAAAAGTATGTTTTCATTTGATCTTTCTTCTCGCATGTTTTTTAATTGCTTCTATTTTTGAAAATGTTTGTATTCTTTTTCATAAGTTATTCGGGATTTAAATGGAAGTAGTTTGGATATGGCGTTTGTCGCCTTAGCCTGAATACCTGTTGGTAATTTACTTCGTTTTGAGCCATTTCTGGCTCCAATTCAATCAGCAATCGACACGAAAGAGAATTAAAAAATATTGACTCAAAACTGACAACTACAGAGACAGCTGTATTTACAGGTATTTATTCATGTATTTATTTGTCAAATTACATAGAAACCAGCGCCAACCCAGCACAACAATTTATCTACTCATAATAAATTCCTTGAAATAGTAATTTCTGAATATTTTTTAAAACGTAATTCGCTATGGAAAAAATACGTTTTATATAATACACGACGATAAAATTGCATTATCGTCTCCCGAAATTAATTCACTCGCGATTTCATCGCTCGTGAATAATTAATCTTTTCGGTCGAGGATAAAATACCATTTTATCGTCGTGTATA